CCTATATATATAGTATACTGTATAGTGATACAGAGTATGTTACTTTAATACATCTCAAATATATTTCGAAAGACTTAAAAAAAATATATCAAACAAAAATTGTATTATTTCAAGTAGAAAAAATGGTAATATATTCACTTGACTTTAGAATGACCTTGAAAACACTTGTCAAGATTAACTTTAATTTTTTAAATAGAATCATATAGTTTTTTAAATACAAATCTTCTGATAATCTACACACACACACACACACACACACACACACTCATATAGTACAATATATTTATAATATACTATGCACCCAGGCACAAGTTATTTTATACTATCAATATTAGTTATATTCCATTATAAAATAACTTGTACCTGTATATATGATACATTATAAATACATTCAAATTAGATCTTAAACCAGCTCTTGCCAGAGCAATCAGCTCTTAAGCCAGTGGCACACAATGCTTGTTTTCATGCTGGATTGCTTGCTAGATGGAAATACTCTATTCTGATTGGTCCGTCTTCAGAAATGCACCAATCAGAACAGAGTATTTCCATCCAGCAAACAATCCAGCATGAAAACAAGCAGCAGGCTTTATTATCGTATGCAGCTGGCTTTATTATCCTCTTCTTATATTATTTGATTTTTCAATCAACTAGCTTTATGATGATTTACATATACCTTCTATAATAGGAACTCCAGCTTTTTTCATGATAGCTTTTGATGTATTTTTAATACCCATATCCCTAATGGCACTAGCTGGTGGACCAATGAATATAATGTTCTCCTTCTGACATAATTCTGCAAACTCTGTGTTTTCTGATAGAAATCCATATCCTGGATGTACAGCTTGACATTTTGCTTGTTTAGCAACCGATATGATTTTGTCTTGCCTTAAGTAACTCTGACTGGATGGTGCAGAGCCAATGCAGTAAGCCTCATCAGCTTGCTCTACATGCATAGAATTCCTGTCCACTTCACTATAGACAGCCACTGTTCTCACACCAAGCCTCTTCGCTGTTTTTGTTATACGACATGCTATCTCTCCTCTATTTGCTATTAGAATCTGCAATGAAATTCATATTAGAATAAATTTATAATACTGAAATTTAACTAAAAACTAACTTTATTGATCCTCTTGACTGGTGATGCCGACTGATGTGAATCTCGGGCATATGAGGTTAATTGGCTCCTACAATATTTTATCGATTAATATATTGAACAGAAGGATCGACTAGAAAAATATTGCACATGTCACTCACCTATAAAGTAGTGACTTTAACTTTCCAAAGTGAAACATAATGCGCGTCTACAATTCAACAAATGTATAAAAATCGATAATTAGTAAATGTGTTTATGTATGCTGAATTATCACTCGTTATACTATTCTACAATAACCATATCAGACTTCAGACTTCAATGATTGGCTGAGTACACCTAACCATTAGTAACTCTACGCCATCTACAGTAACCACATGTTTGTGATAAAGTCAAGTAATCTGTTCTTTTCAGTTGTACTGCTGAACTGGTGCAATAAGTTAAAGTGAGACAAATATATTTTTTCTCACTCTAACTTATTACCAGTTCAGCAGCTGAAAAAAATAGATCAAAGGTTCGTGATATCCATAGATATAATATATCTAGACTATCGACATATAGAATGGACTGCTAAATGAGGTGGTGGGGGTAGGAACAGATGTGGAGTGAGAGGCAGACAATAGTAGGATACTTTCCGTCTCTTTTCCAAGTAGGAACATCGTAAGCGATCGTAGCGCATCGTAAGGGCTATCGCGCACAAATTGACATAACTGCATATGCATAGCATAAGATCGTATGGACCAATGAGCATCGAATATTAGGGCTATCGCACACAAATTGACATAACTGCATATGCATAGCATAACACCGTATGTACCAATGAGCATCGAGTATTAAGTCGCCATATTGGTGTTCGATGCTTAATATTCGATGCTCATTGGTCCATAAGATCTTATGCTATGCATATGCAGTTATGTCAATTTGTGTGCGATAGCCCTTATGCAATTTGCGCATAATATGCATAAAATGTCTATTATGTGCAGAAAACGTGCAGAATACGCAGAAAACGCGCAGAATATGCAGAAAGCATGCAGAAAATGCAGAAAATTCCTGAGACGCGCCCACTCTAACCTAAAATAACTTTTCCTTCAATATATAGTTCCAAGCAGTTGTACTTTGCCTTAATACCACTCCACGATTTAAAAAGAGATAGATACTTCTGATTGGCTGTCGCAATAAGAATTGCGTCTGCTTGCGATCGGCTTGTAACTAATATAGAACGGCCTTTAAGGCTTATGTCCACGATATTAGATTTTGTTTCGAATTCTCGGATATAGTTCTTGCACAAAATTCTCGCATCTCGAAGTGTTTACGTGTAACAATCGGATTTCCAATCGCATTTATATAATCGCAGTGATGTAAATTGTCTAGACAGAAAGTTCCCTAGGCTAATCGGATTACCAAATCGTGTCCGTGAGGGACGGATCGGATTAGCGGATGCAGAGAAACGTTGCGTACATATTTACGTCTCTTAAGAAATAAATATTAAGAAGTAAATAGAAAAGTAAGTATGTGCATTGTTATTTTTACTATAATTAATGTGTATTCTTCTGCAAATGTATATAGGTAAATAAAGATTTATTTCTATTTTACAGATATGTGTATATTAAAGAAATAAATACATCTTAACCTAAATGTGCTTCAGTCGTTAACATACAAATTTATTAAAATATAAAATATTTTCATAGTTAAGGAATTATGGAAATGAATGAGGAAGAAATGTTTGAACAGAGTCAATTTGGTATGTATATACAGCCCTTATAGAAATATCATACTAAGAATCATTGATAATTACTTATTATCCAGTATTTTTAATACTGAAAATAAGTAATTATCAATGATTCTTAGTATGATATTTCTATAAGGGTAAAAGCTCATTCTGAAGGTTATTCGAAAATCAACTTTGCATTTTAAATAAAAACATTAATTTTTTCTAACGAAATTTTATCCTTCGTGAAGAAACTAACTTTTGTTTGAACGAATTTTTCATACGACCTTCATTTTCTAAGATATTTACGAAATATCTACAAAATTATTGATTTCAATAATTTTTTACTCGAATTCTACCAACTTTACCGAAAAATGGTAAGAGATAAAAATTGTTTATTTTCTTCTTATAGAGCTCTGGGAATTTTTCAGAATTTTTTATAAACTTTTTAGTACTTCAAGAAAATGCAAGAAAATGCAGTACTAAGAAGTTAACTAAAAAAATTTGAAAAAATTTCCGGAGCTCTATGAGAAGAAAATAAACAATTTTTATCTCTTACCATTTTTCGGTAAAGTTGATAGAATTCGAATAAAAAATTATTGAAACCAATAATTTTGTAGACTCTTCCGTAAATATCTTAGAAAATGGAGGTCGTAAGAAAAATTCGTTCAAACAAAAGTTGTTAGTTTCTTCACAAAGAACAAAATTCCGAAAGAAAAAAAATTAATGTTTCTATTTAATCCTCCGAGAACACACTGGGTCAATTTGACCCTTACCTCAACGTTGATCATGAATATGTTGAAGGCATTTTGAAAATTGGCGGGATTGACGCCCTCTATCTATAGTTTTTTTTTCTTGTAAATTATAATTTTTACAAAAAAAATTTTTTTTGAGAATTTTTTTAGATATGTTAATAATTATAACGACATTTTTAATTTATTTTACGTGATTTTTCTATATCTCAGGTATATCTAGAAATTTTTTTAAGCTAATCGCACACGTCGTTTTAAAATGGCGGACCCTCAAAGTTAGCGTAGGGTCAGATTGACCCAGAGTGTACTCTATGCTTGAAAAAATAGGTGTGTTCTCGGAGGGTTAAAATGCAAAGTTGACTTTCAAATAACCTTCAGAATGAGCTCCTAGGTCAAAGTCAAGGTCACCTTCAGATGTTCCCCTTTGAACTCGACAACTTTTGTCTGAAACATTTTTTGAAAAAATTTCTCCTTTTTGAGATTTTTGTGTATTGAATAAAATGTTCCACCCTGTATATATACAAAATAACTGAAGCACATTTAGGTTAAGATGTATTTATTTCTTTAATACACACATATTAGTAAAATAGAAATAAATTCTTATTTATCTATATACATTTGCAGAAGAATATACGTTAATTATAATGAAAATAACAAAGCACTTTTCCAGGGTGTAGTTCTGAAAAGTACTCATCCCCGATTTTTTTGAAACTCAATATTCTTACGTATTTTGACGCGCTGATTACGAATATAGTGAAAATTGGCAACTACTTGATTTTCATGGTAAAAACCATGAAAAACCCATAAAAATTATAGTTTTTTACGTTTACCTCAGTAAATACGAAAAATCATGATAAATGTTTTAGACAAAAGCTTTAGATCTCACAGAAATAAACATTTTAGGTTCTATATATTTTCACCGTAAGAATAATAGTTTTCGAGGAAATGGAGTATAAAGACAGTAACAGCGTTAACATCTATCGTCGTTGCGGTTAAAAAGTGTTTAACTTTTTTTCTTAATAACTTTTTAATAAACCATGACCGACAGCTAATGTGACGATAGGTAGGGTTAGGTTAGTTTTTAGAGGGGTGTGGGGGCGTAGCCCCCGCTAGTCGTTCGATATTTTTTCCGTATTGCAAATGTTAAAAATATTAAAAATATTCTTAAAAAAAGTTGTTAGAATTCCTTTATAACTGTAAATCCTCTTTTCTTTATTTATTTTTGCCATAATTCGGGGGAAATATACTGTCTACGTGGCGAAATAACCCGCAGAAGGGATTCGCAGAAATCGAATATAAAGACCGTAACAATGGGGAGCGGTGCACTTGGACACGGTGCATTTGGACACAGCCAATCACAGCACCGTGTAATTAGAGACATTTGTAGGGTCCCTTGGAACAGCGACTTGTGATTGGACTGTGTCCAATTGCCCCGTGTCCAACTGATATACACCCGTAACAATGTGTTACGGTTTTTATACTCGATTTTCTCGAAAATTATCATTCGTACAGTGAAAATATATAGGACCTAAAATTGTACGCTTGTTTAACAATGGATGAGATAGCCATTAGATAGCAAGTTCAATGGAATAATGTCGAGAACATTTGTTGGATACGTCGATCATGGACTTTTAATACCAAATCCAGACGATTTACTTTTGGCAAAAGAAGCTTTAGTTTATCTTTTAACATATATTAATGAGCGATGAAAAATACCTGTACCTATTTTTTAGTAGCTGAATTGACGGCTAAGGAACGATCCGAAATTACGAGAAAAGTTTTGGAATTTATAGCACCATCCGGAATAAAAGTTATCGCGTTTATTTTTAATGGACTTCTGGCGAATATCTCTATGTGTAAAGAGCTAGGAGTAGATGTTTTTAATAACAAAGCATCCTTCAAACATCCAATAGGAAAACACAATATTTTTATATTTCTGGATGTGGCACATATGCTAAAATTAATAAGAAATACATTTGCATTAAAGCGTTTATTGTACGATACAAATAATAATGAAATAAATTTCCAATTTATTGAAAATTTAATTTATTTACAAGAAACAGGACATTTTCATCTTGTAAATAACTTAACAACAAACGTTTGCAGTGGAGAAAAAGTAAAATGAATGTTAAACTGGCTGCTCAAACGCTCAGCGAAAGTTGTGCGGTAGCTTCGGAACAACTGCAAGATGATGAGCATCCTGACTTCTTAAATTGCGCTGCAACTATAAAATTTTGTAGAATGTGTAATAATGTTTTTGATTGTTTAAATACAAGAAGTACATTTGCTAATCATTTTAAGAAATCTTTGAATAAAAACACCGCTGCAGACATTTTCAATTTTTTTACTGAAGTTATTCATTACTTTTCTAATATCAAAATAACAAAACAAGGATCTTCCATAACAGGCACGAAAGGCAAAACTGGATTTCTTGGATTTATACTAAATATAACTAATTTAAAAATATGTTTCATGAATACGTAAAAACAGATTATTTACGATACATACTCTCGTACAAGTTATCATAAGATCATTTAGAGATTTTCTTTTCATGTATAAGATCCATGAGTGGATATAATAATAATCCCAACTGCATGCAATTTTCGACAGCATATAAACGATTACTTCACCATAACATAGTAAAATCGTCAGCACAAGTAAATTGTATTGCAATCAGTAATACCAGTATTTTAACGGTGTCATCAGCAGCTAAAAAATTATGTATGACACATGATGAGCTTTAGACACTGCTGACACTTTAGATGACAAAAAAAATATTATAATATAAAAATATTATAGATGATATTCCTGTACAATATAATTAATAGTAGTTTATATCAAGCTATATATTGTAGGCTTCGTCGAACATAAATTATTAAAAAAGTTGAAATGTGATATGTTTTCAGCTTTTTCATGAATGTGAAACAATTAACTCCCAATTTATTAATAGAAAGAGTTTTAGTTTTTTACGATCTCCTACCATAGACACTTCTAAAATAAACTAACAGTAAGATTTGAAACGGCACATAAGGAGCAAGCACGGATGTCTTAGT